GCGGCTGAAGCAGATCAGATTTATGATCACATTTGAATATCAGCCTTTTACATAAATCGGTTCATCTCCGTAGGGACCGCGGGGAAAGTGAACTTCCAGTTTCCAGCCCCGTGTGACGGATTAATCCCGCCGTATAAATGACAGATTGTCCCCGCCGGCAGGAAGATCATGTTCAGGCGGCAGAAAACATGCAACGACGAGGAGGAGAACAAGATGTTTCAATTATCTAAATGAGCCCGGGCTGACTGACAGGGATCGTATCGAGCTCCTCCATTTGTTCAGTCTGAGAGTCACATTCAGTTTGTTTGCTCAGACAGGAAATTCAGATTCTTTTGAGCTTCTTCTGCACAAAAAGAAATTAGACAAAATCTTAAGTATGTGGGTGAGAGAATGAAACCCTGAGGGACGTCTGAAAACAACCAGAGAGATGATTAAAAAAAAAAAAAAGGAAAAAAAAGAAAAGGTTTGGATCTGACAGACGGAGGTGAATTGGGCGAAATGAGAAACCAGGCAGTTTAAGGAATCGACACAGAGGAGATCAACTAGAAAAAAATAATAATGTGAGAAGATTGGAAGGACGAAATGGCTCATTGGAGAGTTTTCAATAAGAAAATAAAGTTTTATTTTCATGATTAAATGTTGGAAAGTTTTAATTTTGCCTCCTGGTTTCTGATTAAAAACAACTAGGAGCTATTGCTGCAGTTTCATCAGATTTTTTAAACATTAAAGCGGCGAACAAATAAGAAATGTCCACGATGTTGTGTTCAGGCTGTGGTCAATAAAGAAGATTTAATCCGTCTGTTTGTCTGCAGTTTAGTCTGAACAGTCAATTAGTTCCTTCTCTTCCTTTAAAGAGCTATTATCAGGAGATATTGACATTTGTTTGAAGGGATGAGCAGGACTCAGCCTGAGGTGACAGAGAAGCTGATTTAATGAGAGAGAGGAAACTGAGCCTGGAGATTTAAACCTCCTTAGTCATTTTAACCAGTTGTACTCTTTTTTTTTTAGTGATACATTTTACCTTAAAGCTGCTGACTACACATTAAATGCACTTGCTGAAATGCTGTTGAAAACAATCTGACTAAATTACCAGTTAATTCAGGTGAATTTAACTCAGACATCTGGATATCTTTTTAACCTGCAAGTCATTACTGAACAACGGTCTAAAATCCTTGAGGAGCTTTCACGTCAGGTCTGAGGTGGGTTCCAGTCCGAACAGGTCTGACCTTCAAGCTGCTGCTCCCAAACGAGTCTCATCCATCAAATGTTGTTGAAATGTGTGACGCCTTCCCCTCCTTCATAAGTGCTCGCTGCCTCGCGATTCATCCCAAATTTTAACGTCACGGCAAAAGTAAAATGCTGTTTTTAACGAGTCAGGAGAGTGAATCAGATCTTAGCTGTATCGGCCCACACAGTAAGTCTGAGCAGGTAGACGTACCTGCAGACAGGCTGCATGTTGTCACGTGTTGTGTCATGATGTGGAGCCGTCCACTGTGTCCACTGCTCAGACGTCGAGGTGTAAATTACGTTCGGGAAATGGGACGTGGCTTCAGACGAAATGTCTCCAACAAGACCTAAATATAGTCAGCCTCTCTCCAAGGTGAGCTGTGTGTGTGTGTGTGTGTGTGTGTGTCAGTGTTCGTTCATTAGACGAGGCAGTTTGTCTCAGCCTGGTCTCTCTGAATGAGAATTGACATCAGGGCTGCTTTGGCTCCAAGGAGCAAATTAATGATTTAAGGAATAAAATACACACACACACACACACACACTCACAAACACACACACACACACACATACACACATATACACATGCGCATGCATGCAGAGGAGGCATATTGAAAGCTGTGGCTCATCTCAGAGAGGTTGCTCATTTTTTCATATTTTCATTATTTGGTGGCAAAAGGCATCAGAGAAATCCTCCAGGTTTGACTAAGACTGAATTATTAAAATTGTGCTCTGTCTTTCTTCTACACACATACACACACACACACACACACACACACACACACACACACACACACACACACAGAAGCCAATGGGAAGCTAATAAGGGGAACAGTAGTTAATCCTGGGGAACGACAGTCAGTCTGAGGTCAGAGTGACCTCTTCACCAAAACACGTAACATCATCTGATTAATTTGTTAACCACTTATTTATTATTACATACCCATAGTGTAACAGTCATACATGGCAGTTACAGTTTATTATAGTAAAAAGAGCTAAAGTTTGTCCAAATGTCTAGAGAAAAGAAGAGATCAGCTGATTTTTTCCTGCATTTGGGTTTTCATTACTTCCAACATCGTCCTTTGCAGAATTCCGTAAAGAAAGTGTTTAATTTAGAAACGGTTTTGTAGATGTTTGTTTGTTGTTCTTACAGGGAGCTGAAGTCCTGACATCAGTCCGTCTCGGTGCAGTTTCTGCTGAGAGTTTCTTTTATTTGTCTGCAAGCAAAAAAGACCCTTGGTCGGAAGTGAATATTATATCTATTGACTCTGTGAGACAGGGGGGCGTGTCCTCACAGAGAGACCTCTCCGACCAAGAGCCACTAACACACCAAATAAAAAAAAAACCTGTTCCGGGGATGACCTGATAGCCGAGTGGTTAGGGTGCATATCATATGGGTGCAAAATGTCCCCGGTTCGACTCTTTGCTGAATGTCATTCCCCTACTCTCTGTCGCTGTGTTTCCTGTCTCTCTACACTCCCCTAGCACAAAAAAAAAAGGCACGAAAATCAGTTCTATCAAACACTGAGTAACTACAACAGTAACACAACTGTGTGATAACGTGCGATAACAGCAGTAGCCGAGGATTTTTAAGTCATGAATTAATCCAGAATTATATTCTTTTCTAAGTTCATCAGTAGCAGTAAATTACCATCACCACCAACAGCTGAGGACATTCTTTACTTTTACACTGGTAAATTCAGTGGAATCATCTTCGAAGTGTTTTTATTGATGCAGCTGCTGATGGAGCTGCAGCTTCATTCATCAGTAAACCAATGTGTGTGTGTGTGTGTGTGTGTGCATGTGTGAGTGTGCATGTGTGTGTGTTAGCTTGAAGCTTTTAGCACCCATGTACCTGCTGTTCACCTCCTCCAGTCACAGCTCAGTAAGGGAGGAGAGGAGAGTGTTAACAGGCGACTGCTGTGGTATGGCAGGAAAACTGGGGAGGCGGTGGGGGGGGGGCTGCTGCTTAAGAGTTGTGACACCCTCCTTTTTTTTTTTTTTAGTTCATTTCTAGATCATAGAAGAAGAGGAGGGGGAGGAGGAAGGGCCAAGGGGAGAAGTAGAGCTCATCACCTCTGGGACCACCTCTCTCCTTTTCATTTGTCACTTGGTGTGACAGAACGAGGCAGGCGAGGTGAGGAGACGGCAGGGAGGAGGTGATGAAAGAGGACATGAGAGGAGAGCGTGTCACCTTCCTGCCTCTTTCTTTTCTGCTTCGTCACTGTATGACATAACAGGAGGAGGAGGAGGAGGAGGAGGAGAGGTGATGAGGAGGAAAGAGAGAGGAATTTGTCTCGATTGAAGATATTTTGCACACAAAGCAAAGATAAAAGGATGGGATAAAGGAGCAGAGGAGGAGGAGGAGGAGGAGGAGAGGGGTCTGAGGGAATAGAGGAGTGAAGGTATTAAGGAAGAGGAGGAGAAGGAGGAAACACAATCTCTATTCTCTGCTGGTTCTCTGTCTCTCACACAGACTCCAGATCTGCCTGTCACATTGTTTTCCCCTGAACCTCCAAAATCGTTATTCTACACCAGCGAGCTTCAGAGCTTCACAGAGGAGGAGATGAAAAGAGGAGCAGAGATAAGGCCTCCGTGTGATCCACATACAGAACCTGTTGGCTCGACTCACAGCGGGGGCTGCGACGGGGAAATTTGTTTAACTTTCTCAAACCGAAAATCCATCCAACACGCCCAGTTTACATAGGGGTTAACCAACACTGCTTTTGTCAAATTAGCATTGAACATATGCCGAATGAACTATCATCAGCTCCTGTCTGTAGTGTATCATGGCTGTATGAACAGGTATCTCTGGATTACTGTGATACTGAAGAAAACCTAAAAACATGAGGATTCTGAATTAAGCTCTGCAGCTTATTTTTTCCATGATTTCTAATTGGATTTATATAATATGTATATTCCAAGTGGATATCAGAGATAATGATATCTTCATAAAGCATAAGTCAGACTGTATTTAAAAGCATGTGCATCATGTCTGTGTGCTGAGATTTGACTGATTTATCACGGAGTACGTGGAGTATGATTTTTGATGGGAATTGGGTACTGAGTACTTTACCTGCCTCTGAGCCTGCACCTGTCCCTTTCACTTCACACTGTGTCTTTGCCTTTATTTACCGTCCTTATCTAAACACATGGAGTGAACCATGTGACGTTCCTTAGAGAGCAGCTACGTTTGAATGCTGAATTGGAAGTTATTTTTGGCGCCCATTTTGGAGGTCCTCAGCTCTTTCTCTTCTTTTTCTTGTTCCTTAATTTATGGGTTTTTCTGTGTGTGTGTGTGTGTGTGTGTGTGTGTGTGTGTGTGTGTCTAAGTGCCATCAACGTCAACACAAACACACCAGCGCTAAACTAATGCTAATCCATGTAATTGATTGCAGGTTTTGCTCTGTGACCTAGCAGGTTAATACGGGGCTAACCGCTGGGCAACATGCTAATCCCTCATAATTTATAGCTGCAGCAGAAAGGACGACTCGGGAGAGATAAACCCTGAGCGCACGAGCGCGCGCACACACACACACACACACACACACACACACACACACACACACACACACATACACACACACACACACACACACATTATGCTGTTTGTTTCTCTTCTGTGTGTCTAACTGTTGTATCTCTCTCTGTTTCCTCGCAGCCGACGCCCACCATGACCTGCTGACATCACTTGCGCCTGGCACCCCTTCCCCTTCTCTCTCTCCGACAAAATGGCCCAGACCGATTGGCTGTCACCGTGGCGGCAGCTGCCACTGATGCTGCTGCTCATCCTCACTTTCCGTTTCCTGTGTGAGTCGGCCTCGACCACGCCCTTCCCCAAAGACCTGGAGCCGATCAACGTGGTCAGCTCGGAGCGTGAGTAGATCCCTCTGATTGGGGGAGGATGATGATGATGATTCTACAGGAGTCATGTTTGTGTGAATACATAAAGAACTTACTGTTTTCAGTGATACTTGTGTCTCTGCCGTCCATGGATTTTATGTTGTTCAGGATGCTTTCAGTTTGTCGTCATGGTAACAGTCCAAACTGAAACTGCCGGTAGTTAACTCAGCAAGTTCACCAGAATATGAACAAATACAGGGGAAACATGGGGACAGGTTAAAGGTCACAGCTAACTCATTGAATCCATGGCAACAACTTTCTCTATTCACCACTGAAAGCATGATAGGAACTGTAGTGCCACAACTCAGGACATGTTTGTTCCAATAGAAGTAAGACAACACGATATCCATGAGAATCAGCCCATTTATCAAACTTATTTTTACATCACCGAACCTCAGAACGTCCCATCAACATGTTTGCATCCGTGGAAACCGATGTGTTGTTCATGTTCACGTACACACACTCTGACTCCGACTGTGTCGTCTCGTGTCTGCAGAGTCGTATCAGTATCCAGGGTTTCAGGGTTTGCTTCAGGACAACGACACACTGCGTCTGGGCCTGGACTTTCAGAGGATGTTACGCATCAACCACATGTTGTACATCACTGCCAGGTCAGCACACACACACACACACACACACACACACACACACACACACACACACACACACACACACACAAACAAACAGAAGCACACAAATGTGACATCTCATCCAGACATTTCCAGCAGCAGCACTTGGATATCGGAGAGATCAGTGTTAGATCCTGAGGAAGATACAGGACCTGTTCAGGTCTGAGTTGCTGATCTGGACCAATATTTTCTTAAGTTAAAAAAATTAGCTTCCTATCAACTTCAGAGAGCCAGCAAAAGTTTTTCATTAATCATGGAAACTGGAGGAAATATCATTAGTCTCAAATATCAGAGGTATTTTAAGTGATTTTTTTTTGCCAGCATCATTTTTTTAGACACATTTTTAAAAAGAAAATTCTTCGTTCCTCTTCTGAATGCAACATTTTAAAAAACTCTCAAGTCTTTTTAAACGCAGGACTTTTAAGTCCTGATCTGCGGTCACAAAATCTGTATTTAGGTCCAGTTTGGATTGTTATTTCAACTGTTAATCAGCTCCTTAGATCTGATTTTAAGTTTAACTCCTCAGTCTCCTTATGATGAAGCTCTGATACTGGAGCATGCTGGGAAGTGACACACAACACGACAGGACACGCACGTTTAATGCTGCTCTGACACACAAACAAGCTCAGAACAGTGAACATCAGTGAGTGAGTAGAAGAAGAAGAACATTTCTTCTTCTGTTGAGTCGGCATGTCGAGCTCTGACGTTGTGCTTTAACCTCCGCAGAGATCACGTGTTTGCAGTGAACCTGACGACGGCTTCAGAGGAGTTCGTTCCTCAGCTGGTGAGTAAAGTCACATGATCAACAGACTTCTGAACTCTCTGTGGAGCAGGTGCATGACAAAAGAATTCATTCAGTTCCATGAAAAAAACACAAAGGTTAAAAATCTTCTTTTTAAACTGAAACTGAAACAGATTGTAGATTTTTATTCTTATTTTCTCACTCATACTCAGTGGAATAAAGTCAGAAAACAGAGTAAATTTGTTTTATTCAACTTGGATCTTTTTTTTTTTATAGTTTGTCTATAATACATATCAGTAGTAACAACATTATGTTTCGAGATAAATACTTCATATCTCTTCACAGCAGCAGTTCAGGTTTATTTTTGTTGTTGATCAAGTTTCTCCATGACAGGAGGCATCACTTTCTCAGGTTGTCTGTCCGTCTCATCGTCATGAACGTGATGTGACGTGACGACTTGGACAAAATCAAAGTTTACGTTGGGCTCAGCCTGAATATTATTATTCATGTCCAAACACAGAGTTATCACTAATATTAACATATTTTCTTCTTAATGAGACTGATAAGAATAACATCACATATCCAACACTGTCAAGATAAATATTAAATACCTCAACCTTTTGTGAAAGATTTGGAGAAACTTGACTTCTTGTTTAAAATGTTATCAGACAGAAACCATCACAACACTATCATTTTTATAACCTTTGTGCTTCCAGTTAAGTTGATTTAATGTCTTTATTAATTATGTTACTTCTCTCAGCTCCTGAATGTGCATTATTCATTTTAATGTCTGGATGATCCAACCCATTTCTTCCAACAAATCATCTGAGCCATGAGGAGTATCTGTATATGCACGAGTGACAGGATGTCTATGACAAACCTCCACACACTCACAGTCTTAAAGATATCCCATATTTTACACTTCTCCTGTGTTTTATTTGAAGTGTTGATCCATAAGAAGATATATTTGTGGTTTTAAGATCCAAAATCCATCTCAATTTAGTTTTACATCTCCTCTCTCTGGCTTCTCTCTGGAGCTCTAGTAACAGCAGGTTGGTGAGCCAATCAAAAGAGAGGAGACTTTGAGCCCATTAAATTAAGGAATAATAATAATAATATACCAGATTTCAAGTAAATACTCAGAGAAATCAAATCCTGCAAGGTTGGATGGTGGATCCAAGTGGGCAGGGCTCGGCCCATGAGAGGGGTGACTGCTTTGTTGTGACATCACAAAGTTCCAGAAGTCCTGACGGCTGGTTTTAAGGCTCAGTTTCTGAATACAGGTTGTGTGCATTTCTCTGTGGACTGAGCGCTTTGATACTTTCACAGTATTAATATAGAAACAAGACCTGCTCTATAATCAAACAGCACATGGACATCTACCTTTATGTGATATGGGACCATTAATGGGCACTGAGGTCGTCATGGTTAGACGCTGATACTGCAGGAATGGGTGTTGGGACAGACACTACACCCACGGTTAAAGCCTTGCTTGGCTGCCACCCGGTGTTTGCTGCATGCTTCGTCCAGGTTGTGACACACCTGAGCACACCCACCTGTAATATTAGATGAGGTCAGATGTTAAAGAGACGTTTCCACAGATTAGAGTTAGTGGAGCTGCTCTTTAATGATGAGTATGTCACTGAGGCTCGTCTCTGCTGTGTCCTTCCCTCAAAGCATCGAGAGCAGCATCAAACCTGACGACGCAGCACAAGATCCTTTTCACTTCCTGCACAACAGACGCCGTAAATATCAGAGCGGCGGAACAAAACTACAGCAGCTGCTGATGTGGTGTGAGGCGGCACAAAGGACGCGCTTCCTTTGATCTGCACACATCCTCCTCATCAAAGACGAGAGGTTACAGGGTGGCTCCTGACAGTAATGGGCCTCCCGGTGCATTGTGGGACGGTGGCCTGCAGCGGCTCTTTGATGTTGAGCTGTTACTCTCGTTATCAGTGATCCGACCTCAGCGGCGTGGCCCGGCATTCTCACCCCGTCTTTGAAGAAAGGTTCACATCTTTAACGTTCAACTCGTGTTCGACACGAACGCCCAGAGAAATGCCGCCGCAGACTCTGGTTTTAGTTCGACAAATGATTCTCTCAGGCTGGAATCACCTTCATTATCATCCTCTGTGGAGGCTTTTCATGTAATACTCCAGAATAGATGTTTCCCTCCATGTCAGAGGGAGGAGAGACTGCTGCTGCTGATGTGCTCAGGTCAGGTGGGATGGATGGTAGAGAGGGGAAATAGACACAAGTATTCCCTGCAAGATCATTGGACGACTCAGCGATGCTAGTGCAATTGCAGCATTAATCATGTGAGGGTTAAAAATACTGTGCATTGACAGTGAGGGGGTCAAAGGGCATTTTCTTCTTAAATTTGCCTTTTAAAGGTCCATAAATAAAACATGCTACCAAAGTGTTTTAAATCAAAATATGCAGAAACAGCAAATGCCAGCAGCTGTAAACTCTCTCCATTTTTCAAGCCTGAATGAAAACTTGTTGATTTCCTTAGCCTCCATTGCTTGGCAAACTAACTACCACCAACTACCCACAGTGAAAGGCAGATGACATGTGTGTGATGCTCTCTTCTCTGCCTCCTGGCTCTGGTTGTGAGTCACGTACAATCTCATGAGAGTAAGGACTCAGAGGTGAAGAGTCTGAACATCCTCATTGTAGGAATACAATATTAACAGAAATCACCTTTCAGTCACTACGGAGGGGTTAAACTCTGTCAGGTCTCCCGGGGAAATCAGCAAGCAAGATATATGGTGACATTATTAAGTTTATTAATGAAACGGGTTTAGCTAAAAGAATGTCGTTTTTTCCTGCACAACTTCCTAATCCAATGTCAGTGGCGATCCCAGAGTCCGAAGGGGCCCTGGGCAAAAAATTCCCAGAGGCCCCCCCCAGTCAGTGTTTATCACACATAATCGTACATCATAATAAATAATCTGACACCAACAAAAAAATGTATGAAATCTAAAATAAAAATAAAAAATAAAAACCTTGTAAATAACCCTCATTATAAGACCAGTGCTCATCAACACATTAAGCCCCTTTAAGGAGGTTTCCCTGGACTGACAGTTTCCAGTGGGCGGGACAGAGCAGCAGCACGTTCAGTCGACCAATCAGCAGCTACACAGAGGCGTGAATGAGTTGTGAATGGGCGTACCAAAAGACCAAGCCCCAATCCACATTGTTTTTATTCCAAATGGGCCACCTTTAGGGAGGTTTCCTACATTTTTTTTTTGTTTTTCCTACTGAGATGTATTTGAAAATTGTCCATTGGTTGTTTAATGGGGAGGGAGCTGCATTTTGAGACATTGCTGTGGAGTAAAGTTTGTCAGCCTTCAGGGGCCCAGTAACAGCCTCAAGCAGTTGCCTGCCTTGCCTGTTCAGAAGCTGTGCCTCTGGTTAATGCACCTGTTGGCTGATTTGCCAACTGTCAATAAACCCCAAAGAAGAAGAAGTCTACAGCATTATCACAAAGATATTAATAGAGGCATCAAGAAAAACACTGAGAAAATCATCATCGTTTGGCTGCTGTGAGGCGTCCATGTTTGTTGGCTTCTTACGCTTCTTCTTAAGCACCAGTTCAGATGTATTGACGCTTTTAGTATGACTCAACTTTCCCGTTCACACACAGTAACAGTATCTCCCACATGCCGTGAACGCAGCATAATGAATTCCTGTCCCAAAATCATTTTATTTAAATGGAAGCGTCACCATCATCAGTAGATTCACTCGTAGGAGTGAAGTAAATCTGTGCTGTCGACCAACAACAAACCATCTCAATGCTGATCACTGAGCCAACAAAGGGAGCTGTCACAGCTTATTAGCTGTGTTGCACCATCCACTTTTATATAACCACTCTCTGTTGGACTGACAGTGAGCAAACCAGTCATCATGTTCCAAGGTGGCTCATGAGGCTCCAGGTACGACTGAATGCTGAATCTGTATCAGCTGATAATCAGACAGCAGCAGGTGGTGGTGGAGACGCTGTGATAAACTTTCATTTCCTCTTTTTTAACAGTCTGTCAGTGCTGGTGGAGCCACAGCTCCTCGACAAGCTGTGTTCATCAGTCTGTGTTATTCACACTGCTGCTGGTGCATGTGCTGCTTTGTTTACTTGCACAGAAACACCACAAACCGATCAGGTGTCGGAGTGCGCCCTGTTGCACCTGTAACCTCACTCACCTGTGCTGTCACTGTGCACTGACCCACCTTGGAGTCCACTGCTATACATCACTGCAGCAGGAAGAGAAGTCAGACCTCTGGAGCTGAGCAACATCTGTGTCCTAATTCAGGGGCCGCATCCTTCGGAGAACGCGGCCTACGAAGGTGTGGCCCTCCATAGCCATCGTAAGCCACGAAGGCCGAACCGAAATGAGACGGCCGGGTCTACAGAATTTGCCCGCTCTTACTGTTGCGTCGCAAAGCACTGCTCCTGTTGCCTAGCAACCTTGACAAACTTGTACCTTTTTCTTTACAAAAACTTGTGGTTTTAAGATCCTTGGCTTTAACAGTTGTACTATTAGCTGTTGAAGTGAGCTGAAAACCCAATACTTACGTATAAAAGTGTTATCCTCCGGCTCTCTGTTGGTGTTGTTTGCCTACATTACCAGCACACAATGAATCTTGTGATAAGTTGGGCCACGAAGGATCCACCCTTCGTTGTCCAGGAAAAGAAGGACGCATTTGAAGGAGTCTTGAAATGTGACAGCTGTCTTCAATTGCAGCCTCCGAAGGATACAGCCCCTGAATGGTGACACCGATAACCTCTACAGCAGCCACAACTACACAACCTCTGATATCTCACATGGACTCACTAATCCTGCAGGTCCCAGGTCTGCGAACTGCCCTTGAGCTGGACTCACAATTTTATTATCTGATGTTTTCCATGACTCCTGTGATTGTTTTCTGTCTGTTTGTTGATTGTGGTCTTATTTGTGTTGTCCTGTCGGCTGGCTGTGTGATTATGAATCTTTCTTTTTCTCAGGTCTTGATTTTCTTCCTGATTAAATAAAGTATAATTAACTCAAGGTCCACACACTCCCTTCCCTTTTTTTTCCTTTTTTTTTGTGATGTACTTGTAATCAGATCTCATCAGTGGATGGTGATTGCTCTGTTGTCATGGAGATGGTTCACATGGGAGAAACCATGTTGCTGTCGTTTGATTGGCTGTCACAGCCTGTGTTTGTGTTTGTGTTTTTGTGGTGTAGTTATTTTCACCGTGTCAGAGCTGCAGCTCTGCGGTCAGGTGTGACTCATGACTGCTGACCCTGATCACATCCGCCTCTTCTTCTTCATGTGTTTCAGAAACTGACATGGAAGTCCAAAGACGTCAGCAAGTGCACGGTCAGAGGGAAGAACAGCGTGAGTTTCCTTTTTCTTCCTGTTCCCCCGTATTTCTTCTTCTCTGATTTTAACATGTCACCAGATAAAACCAGTTTATTAGGATCAAAATGTAGATGAAATCTGTCCAGCTGTGACCAGCAGCTGTTTGAAACTCTAAACACTTGAGAAATATTTCATGTCTGACAGATCTGATAAGTGAGAGGCGCTGACACGTCTTTGTTTGGAGTTCACTGACACCAAAGATAAAATTAGAAAGAGTCTCACAGCTTCAGAAAAACATTTTCATCCTTGTAAGGATGAGATTTTATCACATCATTACATGATTAACGAGGCCTGTCACATTTTTTTTTTTTGAATGTGACGCTGTGTGTTTGTGTTTCAGGACGAGTGCTACAACTACGTCAAAGTCTTGGTCCCCAGAAATGACGAGACCCTGTTCGCCTGCGGCACCAATGCCTTCAACCCCACCTGCCGAAACTACAAGGTACACACACACACACCTGTCCTCCCCTGAGTCTCTGAGCGGTTATCAGCACATTAAATTCAGTTTAGAGTTTTCTTGTTGTAGATTTAAAGAAACTCGCTGGTGGTTTTTATATGCTTTTACTCATTAATTACAAGGATTTTTCCAACTCAATACACATTGATTTCATACTTTCCAGGCAGCGTGGTGGGAAGTTACTAAATGCAGCTTAAATCTTCGCTCACACCTCTTTTACATATCCAGAAAAATGCACTGAAGTCAGTCCTCTACCATCCCTCCGTCTACAGCAGGAGCTTCATCACACACATGCCATCACTTTTCAGATGACACATCTGAACAACAGTCATGTATCTAATGTGACTACAGCTGCCTAGAGAGTGTAAACCTGGATTCCCAGTGTTCATGGGGATGAAGGATGAAACTGAATTCAGCACAGACAGCTTGTTTTCATGTGTCTTGACACTGCATCTAAGCATCATTTAACAGTTCGTCACCGCAGTGTCCTGACAGTAATTTGTCTGTGTGGCATTGCAAAGCAGCCGAAAAAGCATTTTCCCAGACCACCATTATAAAACTGTCAACAGGACCTTCACCTACAACATAGGACGATTATTACTCTGTTTATTATGAATCTATAATCCATATATTTAAAACTTCCCCACAGTCCAAAAAGGTGATGAGATCAGTGGAGGCACCAGGGCGGAAAATCTGAAGTGCCACAAACTGCAGTTCCTCTAATGGCCACTAGAGGCTGACTCCAAAAGCGAGTCAATTCCCATTGACTCTCATGTTGAAATGTCCAACTTATCATCAAAAATAAACATTTTTAGAGCCTGATACAATGATTTTGGTCTCTATAGCTAATTTCCTCCTTCATGACAACTATACGGGGCAGGAATTTTTTTTTTTATTAACTCACATGTTTACATTTTATTAAGGCTTAAAGTTATGTATAACTGAGGGCATGGCCACTTTGAATGACAGGTGGGTGTTGTTACTGTTGTCTAGCTGCTAGCTGTCTTTTCAGGATCACCTCGGCTAATTCGAGTCACGCAATGTGATCTCTCTCTGTTTGTGGTGTTGGTGCCTATTGAGTATTGTTCATGTAAATATCAGACAGGCAATATGGCTTGCTGTTCGGTTAATAGCTTGTTTACTTAGCTTGTTAACTAGTTAATTAGCCAGGAAATTAATTAATTATCCACGCGATGCAGAATTGAAGGTGTGGCCGTTTTGAGTGACAGGTGGGTGAGTGTATCCTTGCCACAACCCGGCTCCACCTCTTTGTCCATTTTTCGGATTAGATGGGAGTTAGGGGCGGAGTCAGGTACTGCGAAGATGGTGACAGCAGAGCAGCCCACTCTGAGCTTCAAAACTGCTCTTCAGAAACCTGTGGGAGATCAGTTTAGTTGGTTGATGTTACAGCGGATAATTACTGTCACCCTTCAGTGAAATAGATTTAAAAGAGCACTTTATAATGTAATGTCTGTGAAAGTAACTGCAGTTTAAATATAACCTTGTGTGTTTCATAACAGCTCAAGGATGCGTGTGTGTCTGTGTGTTCATGATCAAGTGAGTCTTCACACTGTGTTTGCACTTTTTCTAACCTGCCCATTATCCTCTCAGCTGTTGAATCGTCACTAACGTCGGGTTAATGAGCGGAGAGACAGGGCGCGGGGACAAGGCGGCTTTATTCTGGCGGCGTTCCCCCGCTCCTCCACTTCCCTAATTGGAAGCGTCAGGCAGCTCGAGACGCCTCGTCACAACCAAACACAACACCTTCACAAAAGCCACCATTTCAGGCATTGTGTTCCTTTTTTTTTTTTTTTTTTTTTCGCGCTGATTCTGTGGCGGTGACGCTGGAGATGGAGGTTTGATTGACAGGCGCTGACCCCGTTTAGCTGAGGCTTTGTGTGCTTTGACAGCTCCAGCGGCAGGAAACAAAAAAAACAACACATTTACCTGAAGACGAGGAGCTTTCCACTCTGATTGTGAAGAGTTTGGATCTAAAACGAGATCCACAGCTCTTAGAAAAACACTGGCGCCTGCTCTCGTCTTCTGATTGATGGCGCCAGATAAAATCAGCTTTAACTTTTTAAAGATCAGGAAGTAAAAACTCTGTTTTTTTTTTGCAGTTTTACAAACAATCTAAAGATGTTTTCTGATAAGATGAATTAAAAACAGATTGACTGAAATTGTGAAGTAAATCCACTTCAATAAGAATCAAAGAGTGTGCAAGTTCATTGTTGACCTTGTAAATGGTTGAAAGCTCAGGAAAAAGCTGAGCAGTGGACTTTGTGTTCAGATATTTTATTAAACTACTGTGATGTAGTGTTTGTAATGGAGCTGTGAGCTGAGAGTATTCTGCTGCAGTAATGAGTTTTCACAGATTAAATGTTAATGGTGTTAATGTCACACAGAATATTTAATATTACATTTATTCACTGAGCTGAGTAAAGTCCTGATGCTGAGGGATTTCAAGTAATAGTCGACTTTGCTCTTCATTTCATTTACAGTAAGATTACAGTAGTTTAGGTTAAAGAGGTAGGGCCGAGAATTTAGTGCATGCTGGTTTGAGCCAAGCATACCCTCACCCACCCACTGTGTGGACACACCCTCACTTATGCATAACTTTAAGCCTTACTAGACTGTAAACATGTGAGTTGTATAAAAATGTTGTTTTTACTTTGATACTGTATCTTGGTGAATGAAACCACAGATGGAGGCAGAACGGCAATTTACAATTTGACTTGGAATCTGACCTCGTTCAAAGTCTCAGAAAAAAGTGGAACATATTCATGATGAGTATAAAAATGTAAAACATTAAATAAACTCAAACTCCTCTGTCATCACACCAAAGATAAATGTCTTTATCAGTTCCTTAAGAGGCTGTTCAGTCTTTGATACAGAAAAGTCTGCATTTGAATTTAAGTGAAGATTTCTACATGACTGATTTTCTACATCATTAAAAACTAATAATAAAGGATAAAATGTCCCCAACACTTCAGTTTACTCTACGGTGGAAAAGGTGCAAGTGCAGGGACTGAGATTATCCCTGTTCATTAGTCAGGTCCTGTCAGGCCAGAATCCATCACTGTGATTGTGGGAACCTCCTGCAGCAGCAGCGCGTCGTGTGTTTTCTCTGAGTAAAGACAATGTTCAGATTTTCTTGATTTACCCGTGTCCTTGTGTCTGGGGCTCAAACAGCAGCTGATAATGATGTAGATGAAGGTGCAGCACGCCTGTATGTGACTGCTGAGCACACAGCCTCATAAAGAAGAAAGAAATCATGTTTAATTAAACTGTGATTAAATGTTTAATTTAATTTTAGGCTGATTCACCTGCTTCACCCTGTCTGAACCCTATAGTAACGTTACACAACAGAACAGGGAATAAGAGAGAGTAGAAACTTGGAAGTGTTGATGATGAGGAAGACGAGACGTGTTATCAGGAGACGAACAGAGCTCGGGCGAGCGAGACAGAGAAAGACTTGAAAACAGAGAGTGAGGTGGGAGAGTTCTGAACAGACTCAGCTCCCTGAGGGTGGAGACAGCAGACGAGTGTGTTTATGAGGCTAAACGCTCCCTCAGCCTCAAACCTCCGTTAGCAATTCAGTTAACGTAGCCTCTGAGCATTGTGCTACCAATGCAGTGCACATAGCTTATAGTTAACATGTCAACGTTATGTCAAGTTATATAAAGAAAAATAAACATAAACATAAATAAACATTTAACAATGATATCATCAGTCTTTGCCACGGGAGTCTGATAAAAGGATAATTGGGGCTTTGGTTGCTGGGAGACAACAAACATTTTATTTAATATATTTTCTCTTTGAAAGCAGCAGAATAATTGTTTGTTTTAGGAGAAATAAATCAGACACATGCAAAATCACACGAAAACAATATTTTTATTCTAACAAACACAAATGACAGTAATGATAGTAACAGTAATACTTTATGCAGCAGCAGCAGCAGCAGTTGTAGCAGTGTTACAGAAAAGCACAAAATCCTCAGGGTGTGACAGACTAACATGCCCAGAGTGTGAGATTCAGGTGGAATAATTTACTTTAAAAACATCAGTGAATGAAACAATAAAAGTATTTTACAGGAGGTTTATCGTGCTGCCTCGGCTGATAAAAAAAGACCCTCTGATAAAAAACGCATTAACCCAGAGGAGCTGGTGGAACAGAGGTCAGATGCACAGTCATGTCTCACTGCTCAGCTACAACTAAAGCATTAACAATATTCGGAGGACACTCAACATGAAGGCTTTTTTTCAGACAGGTTGTGGTTTCAATAGAGTGGTCACAGAAACAGATTTTTGTTCATATTTTCATTTTTAAAGCAATAGGCTCAGGCTGATAATATAATATTTAGTGTTAAATTATTATTAAATATCAAATGATATTATCAAATTATTAAATATTACATTTTGGATATCACCCAATCTTAGCTGTTACTTTTATGTCAATGTCGACAATCTTCTTTCTGTAAATTATTCACCTCTGAATAATTGTGTGCATTTGTGTGTGCATGTACATAAGAGTGAGATGTGTGTGTCACCGTCCGGTTTGACTTTATTATGCTCTGTGACTGGAGTCAGGCTGTTTGTTTCAGAGCTGAGCTGTTAGTATCATCATCATCATCAGAGCTTGATTATCTGATATGTCAGCTGATCCATCAGTGTATTATTAGCTCAGGTACAGTAACATGAAGCCAGTCCCTGCTGAACACTCACTTAGCAGCATTATCATCCCCTCTGTGACATGCAGTGAATAATATTAGCACACATTATTCATAAAGCTTATATTATAAAGGAGTCTGTGAGTGAGAAGTGAGTTTCTGTCTCACTGTGACTTCTCAACTGTTTCCCTCGATTCTGTGACAGTTTCTGTTTTTTGTGATTTTGTACTTTGTTTTTTTTTTTTATATCGCTGCTGAGAGACAGAAGCATATTTCATCTGTTTCCTCCTCTTCTTCCTCTCAGATGACCTCGTTGGAGCAGGTCGGGGAGGAGGTGGTCGGCCAGGCTCGTTGTCCCTTCGAGTCCGGTCAGTCAAACGTTGGACTGTTCGCTGGTGAGTCAACAGTGACGTCAGCTCCTGCAAAATGACACATAGACTCTGTAAAACTATATCAATATTTCCATTTCTTGTTTTGTTTTCTGTAGTTGTAGACATATTGTGATATTTGTTTATGAGAATAATTATTTAGCTTCAAAGATGAAGTCATAACATATACAATGACACAGAAAACATTTCCTTAAAACGATAATACAATAAATCTAATTTTCCCTTTATACTGTTGAGAAAGGAGAGGAGAAAAAACTGTCACCTAAATTGTAATAAAACATTTAATTAATTAATAACTTATTGTAAAATAAAATTGTTATTAATACTTTTTCAAAATTAATTGTTTAATCCATAAATAAATTGACCAAATTACAAAGTAATTAATTCTCTAGTCTTTTAATGGGTAATAAAAAGAGGAATTATGAAAAGATTTGTAAATTAGATATGAATCCATCAATAAATTGTCCAAATAAAAAAAACGTATAGTCAATAAGTACATAATTTCAAAGTAAAATAATTAATTCATAAATGTATAATGTAATTTCAAAATCAATTTGAAAATGCAAAGTTAGAAAATAGGAATAAATTACAAACTGAAGAATACAGATATTAATCCGGCATTTAAAAGGGAAATTAGCATTTCCATTTCCCTGCTGCTTTTCCTTTTCCTTTTAGTTACTGGATTTGCTTGGTCATTTAGCCTTTGGCCACTTTGGGTCTTGTGCTGGTAAAACAAGGTAAAACAATGAAAATTCATTTGAACTTTGGTTGGTTATTAAAAATTAAGCATGGTAGACTGGTTTTCATGTTATTAGTTTTTGGCTGAGGCATTGACACCTCCTCACCTGCCTTGTTGAACTATGGGTAAATGTTCACATAGTAGAATGTAAATTGTTAAATGGTGTATATGGGGAACAATATAGAGCAATATGGGGCATGAGAAAGCAGAATAAAATGCCTTATTTAATTTCATTCATTTATCCATAAGGAAAACACGCATTAATTAACACATCTGTCAATGTGGCAGTGTTGACCAGCTGGATTATTTCCAGCTACAGTCCTCGGGAGAGATGTACATTAATTAGTAATGTGATGGTTAAAAATAAAGACAGAAGACAAAACACCATAAAGTCAGAGCAACAGGAAAGAGCAGAACATTAGTACAATTATACAAAAACAATATCCACTGTTCAGTAGACGTCACTGTGACGTAGAAACAACCAAACATGGCTCATCAACACTGATCTCATGCACAGTGGTGACATATTATTAAAGTTAGTTCAAATCTATAATAATAATAATAATAATAATAATAATAATAATGACACAGATTTCTGCTGTAAAATTATAAAAACATCCACAGTAAAACATTCAGCTGTGTATTTGAGGCAGATCAGGTCACTTATAAAGAAGCGGATGTTTTAAAGTGGTTTAGCTTCTCAGTGTCAAGATAAACCTCTTCCTGTTTCATCAGGGGGGGATTTCTATTCGGCCACCATGACGGACTTCCTGGCCAGCGACGCCGTCATCTACAGAAGCCTGGGAGACGGCCGTCCCGTCCTCAGAACCGTCAAGTACGACTCCAAGTGGCTCCGAGGTATGATTTATTTCTTATTAAAACCTAAAACATGAGACACTTTATTTTATTTTATTTTTTTTTAAGTTTGCTTTCTTTCAGTTAGATAACATGACACATTAGGTCACATGATGTTGAAGTTGATTATCAGTGTGAAATACCAGCAGGTTAGAATACACTAAAAGGGACTTTTGCACAGGTCAAGTACTGAACAATGTTTAGTTTGATTTAGAGGGACAGTCACTCCTCGTCCCAATGGACCAATCAGCTGGGAGGAAATGTGGGGATGTGGGAGAATTTTCACAATAAAATATTTTATATTTTAGACAAATCTGAAGCAGTTATACAAACATTAAAAACAAAAAATTCTAATCACAAGATCAGTTTACTCAAACTTTTGTAAAGTTTTCAGTAGTTTACTGTTGTCATGGAGATGGTTTAGTTGTTATTGTTGCTATGATAAGTGAACAATCAAAGCTTCAGAAGAAGCAAGTAAGGCTACATGGTACAGTTTGAGTTGCAGCTTCAAATATGTTGAGATTAGCTTGGCTTGCATTTTTTACAATAATAAATTAATTCTCTAATATGCAAGAATAAATAGTGACATCTCTGTCATTATGATTAACATTTTATCGACTACAGAAGCATCCCTCTAAAATTGAGTTCTAAACTATGGGATTTTTTTGTTGAGACTGTCGATACACACTCGTGTATATACTGTATTACATGTATTAGCTCCATATAAAGCCCACGCCTCCAGATTATTTCTCTGTGGGTATTGGAAGAGATTCAGGGAAAAGTAAGACATCAGTAAGTGACAGCTGAAAACCATGAACATCTTGAACATCACAGACTGATGGAGACAAGTCACAGTGACAGAGAACTGTGAGAGATTTACCTTGAAAATGGAGGAAAGGATGATGAGATTATTTCTCTTTCTTACTTTCTCTCTCTCTCCCTCTCTGCAGAACCTCACTTCCTGCATGCCATCGACTATGGTAACTACGTCTACTTTTTCCTGAGTGAGATCGCAGTGGAGTACACCGCCCTGGGCAAGGTGCGTGCATGCATGAGTGAGTGTGTGTGTATATGTGTGTGTGTGTGTGTGTGTGTGCGTGTGTGTGTGTGTGCGCGCGCCCGCGTGCAAATGAATATTTCCTTCTAAAGGTGAAGAGGTAGCTGAAATAGTTTCCGGACTCTCAAACTGAAAGCTGCACAGGCTGAGTTACCAGCGATTGTAAATCTGTACTGTTTGTGTGTATAGATTGATATTATACATCGATAATAAGTTTGTATTAAATCATTTCACTCCATTATGATGAAGTAAACTGAATTCTTCAGTTTTTTTTCAAAATGTACCCAAACTTTTAAAGGGAGAGGAAGAAAAAATATAACACAACTGCTTAAATATGTAAAACAAGCAACTGATTTAGTTGCTTTTAATTAGTTATTAATTATTTAATTCATTTTAGTCGATATTTTAAATTATATTTCACCACAGTATGATTCCACTAAAGGTTATTGGTCATTCAGGATGTCATCAGTCTCCATGCTGTAACTGCACAGTCTAACCGGACTGGATTACACCTGAATAACACTTCAGGTGTGACTGACGGTCAGTGATGTTGACTTACTCTCTGACTCCGCCCTCACCGACCCCGTCCCTCACCTGCCTTACAGGTGGTGTTTTCTCGGGTGGCCCGCGTCTGTAAGAATGATAACGGTGGATCCCCCAGAGTTCTGGAGAGATACTGGACTTCTTTCCTCAAGGTGACTTCAACGTTTAACCCTGTGTGAGGTTGATAAAGGTTCTCCACTCCAGTCATAGCTGTTTTATAACCACACACTCTGCTGCTGTGTGTGTGTGTGTGTGTGTGTGTGTGTGTGTGTAGGCTCGTCTGAACTGTTCGGTTCCTGGAGATTCCTTCTTCTACTTTGATGTTCTTCAGTCTCTCACCAACGTGCTGCAGATCAACCAGAGACCTGCTGTGGTCGGGGTCTTCACCACTCAGGCCAACAGGTACACATCAGAGAGTGTGTGTGTGTCCGTTAACATGTTGCAGGGTTCACTGTAGAGTCTGGCTCGAACCTGCCAACTGCGGACGTAAATTTTAATTTTCTTTTCTTATCTTTTTTTTTTTGACTTGTTTAGAGCTGGTTTTTCACTGATCTGCACCAATATAGTAAAAAGAGAGAGTGTGTGTTTGTGTTTTTGTCCCAATATTTGTTAATTAAAACAGGTAGTTTATCCCTGTTTTGTCTCTATGAATTAGACCTTAAGCTTGATGTTATTTTTGAAAAGTGAAGATGTTTCTATAATAGTAAGAACATTGCATCTTGGGAACGTGGACATTTTAGAAGGTGGTTTTGGTTAGAGGGTTGAGGTTAGGACTACCCTTATGTTAAGATTATAGACTGTAAATAAAGATGGACATAGCCTCTGTGCTCAGAGTCGGCTGCTCCGCCGTTGCCTTCTTGGCAGTTCCTGACTCCGCCCCTACCTCCCGGCTAATCCAAAAATGGGCAAAGAGGTGGGGCCTGTGTGGAGCTGAGACTTCGGTGCACATGCCGGTTTGTGGCAAACATACGCTCACCCACCTGTCACTCAAAGTACAGTTGTCATGAAGGAGGAAATTACCGACAGAGACCAAAACTGTTTTGTGCACCAGACGTTAAACAGGTTTACTTCTGCTGTAAAGTTGGATATTTTAATATGGGAGTCTATGGGGATTGACTTGCTTTTGGAGCCAGCCTCAAGTGGCCATTAGAGGAACTGCAGTTTGTGGTGGCTTCATTTTTCATCCACAGAGGTTGATGCTTTGGTAATATAAAGATCAGGAAATATCGTGTGTCGGTATAGATGTATAAAACTATATATAAATGATTCAGGAGAGGATAGGATGATTCAGAAGCATATTATTTCTCCGTTTGTTTTGATGACGTTTTTTCTCCAGGAGCTCGTTAGTTGTTGTTGCTGCTGGATGTTTTGAACTCGTGTTAATAACAGTATCACAGTGGAGAGGTCTGTCCTCTCTCCATATGCTTCCAGTGAACTCTCTGTATTTGTTTACACTCTGGATTATATAATGTTTGAGTTTACTGTGTGGATTCTGCTGTGAGTCAGGAGCTCAGTCAACGCTCTCAGGCCTGGTTTTCATCGCATTTCAATGTTTTTCACTTTAAAGTTTTCAGGTTTCTGGAATCTTTGGATGGAGTTTGTCAGTTCAGGTGTAGTTTCAGTTCAGGTGTGAGGGTAAATGTGCTCTGAACCTTCTTAGTTTGTGCTTATGAACATTAGGACATTATTTTCAGCTTGTACAAAGTGAATCTGTCTTCCTCTGCAGTATCCCTGGCTCTGCAGTCTGTGCTTTCTACATGGACGACATAGAGAAAGTCTTCAATGGGAAGTTTAAGGAGCAGCGGACCAGTGACTCGTCCTGGACTCCAGTCCCTGATGAGCAGGTTCCCAGACCAAGGTGAGACACCAAAGTGTTGCATCATCTGCGTCATCAGAATTACTTAAATTCGGTGAATAAAAACCAGTGGGGCACATTCATAAATTGACAGCAGCATAAAGGAAAACAGATCAGAATTTTTTTTTTTCTTCTTTTCCTCAGACCTGGTATGTGCGCAGGCGATGGTCCGGCTGCAGACTACAAGTCATCGGTTCAGTTTCCAGATGAGACGCTGACGTTCATCAAGTCGTATCCTCTGATGGACGAAGCTGTTCCCTCCGTTAACGACCGGCCCTGCTTCACCAGGACCTCCAGCAGGTAACAAACTTGAACTTGGCCAGACCAGTATTGGCTCTGGTCCACAGTTGGACTAGGAAAGAAATTCAGCCTTAGACTTATCCGCTGGGACTGGCGGCACAAATGACACTGAATGAGGTGGTAAAAACTTTAAAAACCTTACGGAAAACAATATGGATTTTGACAATCCACCTCTGCTGTGGTCTGATCTCTTTCTTTTTCTGAGGCCTTTTTAGCTGAAAAACGTGGTAGAAATAGTTGTTTGCTGCTATATTATTGTTTATAATCTCATTTACAGAACATTTAACGTTTGTTCATCTCCCTCTAATCACTGAAGGCCAGTATGTTAAGAATATCTCATACACCACTGATTTGATTTTGGAGAAACCATGGGGTGTAATCAGTGTCTCTGCTACATTCAGTGTGATTTTTATTTAACTGTTGCTAATTGGCTGATTTGTGCAGGATGATCGGAATTACGTTTAATAGAAGAGGACAGAACACTTGTTCTTCTCTGCTCTGCTTCTCTGTAATAGATAATTAAATCTGCGTTTTGCATTTGCAGACATTTACCGAGCACTCCTGTACACAGTGATTTACAATATGCAACAGTAAGATTGCCTTCAGTCTCCAGACTGTTGTCAGATGTCTGAGTCAGTGTACCAGAGCTGATGAAAGATGTCATCGCACACTCCTGCAATGTGATGGGAATTTTTAAAGATATTTTTCCAGTGAAATGTTGCCACGTAGCTGATTCTCATATCCACAATGACTCAAGTTAGATAAGTTTTAATTAATAACCACCAAAAACTCTGAGGCTGAAATGATGGAGGAGGAGATCTGAGAGGTCAAGAAGGAAGTGGATGCAAACTAAACCCCGCAGAGGTGAGTTTTGAAGTCACGGCAGCTCTGAGAGGCGGTGAATCCACCATCTCGACCCGAAGCTGTGAGGATAATCACCGGTATCAGCTTTGATTAGTCGTCGGCGTGCAGGAAGTCCTCTCTGTCTCTGTGTCCGTCTCGGTGCTCTGAAAATCTCTGACCTTTTTAATCTGCGCCTCCAGGTTTCAAATGAGTTTCTGATGGATTCTAATTACCAGTCGGGAGTGGGAATGAGACTCTTAATTCCACATTCAAATTAGCCTCCACTCTGGAAAGGCCTGAGCTGACCCAGATAATGATGATGTGGATGTCCAAAGGGCTGCACAGATCCTCTCTCTCTGTTATATAACATGAGTGCAGGACAGTCAGAGCACTCAGTCGGAGGTACTCTGTCATAGAGATCTGGAAATCATTTTTTATTGGAGGGAACACACTTAACCTCCACATACAATATACACATCTACACAGCTTACTTTCCTCCTACATTTTCTAGCATGCCCTTTATGTGCAGAGATGGAAAGGTATGCTGGGGACAAGACAGACAACAAGATGTCAGAAGGTTGACATTTAGGTGTTTTGAGTGAAGTGTTTCAACAGCTTTTCAAGGGATTGGCGCAAAGTTTGGTACAGATTCATGAGGTCTCCAGAGGACTCATCCTAATAACTGTCTATTCCCTAACGGCATCATCAGGTCAAAGTCTTTTATCATCAAGTGAAATATCTCAGTATCTATTAGATGGATTAAACAAAAATGTATTCATGGTGACTTTGGTGACCGAACATATTCACTAGTTAAAATATGAGATAACAGCTTTTCTCAAGGACATTTATAGTGTTACACTGGTTTGTACATGTGAGAAGTGACTGTAGTTTTAGTAGACGAGAGAAGTTCAAACTTAGATCACTTTCTCAGCTTCACACACCTGATTTAAGAAATTCTGTCTTAGATGCTAATCAACCATCTGTTAAAGCATTTCGACACCTTTTCATTCGTCCAGTTGTCAATCATACCAGCACCACAACAGAAAATAAAAATAATTTGACTTTCTCTCATCCATCTGGAGAACGTTTTTTTGCTCAGACACTTTCAAAGACCCAAGTGGGAGTTCAACCCACTGGCACCGGTAGCTCAGTGAGCTGTATGTGATGGGGCAAGAAGTGAAGTTTGGGTTAAATAAAGAGGTAGATGGCTGGTTGTTATCGTAGTGGACTTGGAGACCTGGCTCAAACTACACAAACAGCCAAATTACCTTGTAAGCAAGTGTTTCATTCTCTCACAGTTTATTCAGTGTCTCTTTCTACAAGGGCTGTGACAAACAATGATTTTCATTATTGCGTAATCTGCCAATTATTTTTTTCAATTAATCATTTTGTCTATAAAATGACAGTAAATAGTGAAAATGCCTGTTACAGCATCCCACAGACCAAGGTGAAATCTTCATGTCTTGTTTTGACATTCCAACAACCAAAGATATTTAGTTTATTATCCTGTGTTAAAAGAAGCATCAAGTCTTTTGTTTAAAGAAATCACAATTAATTTTCTGTCGGTCGACTGATCAATTAATCGACAGCTTTGCTTTCTCCCAGGTCCAAGTTGACCCAGATCGTGGTGGACGTTTCAGCCGGTCCCTACAAGGATCGGACGGTGATGTTCCTGGGCTCAGACGATGGACGAGTCCTGAAGGTTTTGGCGAGCACACATCCCAACGACAGCTTCGGATCCAAACTGCTAGAGGACATCGACGTCTACAACCCGTCAAAGTAAGAGTTATATCCAGCCATTAAGTCAACTGCTGCTACTGCTCAAGCCTTTAACAGCCACGTTTGTATATAAAAATGATCAACTTCCTGTCTGTGTTTCCAGATGCAACGTTCAGGGCCAAGAGGACAGGAGGGTTCTGGGACTGGAGCTGGATAAGGACCATCATGCTTTGTTTGTAGCTTTCACCAGCTGTGTCATCAGAGTGCCGCTCAGCCGCTGCACTCAACATGGAGCCTGTAAAAAGTAAGACAACAATGAAAGCAGCTCATCAGCCATATTTGAACTGAACCATATCTGTCCTCTGCTGTCAGCCAAATAAAATCCTTTTTTTTTTTTCTTCAGTAGGAAAAACTAGAATTTTCTGAAACATAGCAGCACAGACTTCAACCAAACAGCCTGATTTAGTTAATACTGGAAAACATCCAAAATATTAGAATCTTTTTAAACAGTCAAATGTGGAGCTTCATTTGGAAACATAATCAATACTGTGGCAGTGAGTGTGAGCCGGGGGAAACGGGGATGCCGAGTCAGAATGGTGAAACATGGACAAAAAGAACCTTATTAATAGTCGTCATTAGACTGAACAGAGCAGAGCTTGCTGCCCAAATTAGGGCACATTCATCACTGGAGAGCAGGCACATGCACACACACAGTGTGGCTAACTAGACTCATTTTAATTACTGAGTTGGATGAATGAATGCTTGTGGATGTGATGTGGTAACACAGCTGCAGAAGCACAGAGAGGTTTCCACCAGCTGTAGATGAAAAGGTTATCGGAGATGTTCGACTGGGAAGACGAGGACAGCCAACAGGCCGTTCTGAGACCCGAAAGACTCGCAACATCTTGCAAACAGTGACCTGCAGTTTGCTTGTCTAGACTTGTCTCAAATGACGAGACACCACTTAAGACTCCTCATGGACTTGACTTGATGTGACTTGAACATGTCTTAAATGACTTGACGACTGACTTGGACTTCCTCTTACAAACCTTTCAAATTAATTAAAGCATCTATATTTAGCAAAACCTTGTCATTGGCGACAGCGGTGGCCTTTATTACTGCCGTTAGCATCCTGTTGCTCGCTCTTGCGTGCGTGCTCGCACTCCATAGTTAGGTACGAGTGATCATCCTGGGCATTGGCCAAAACATAATCTGATGGTCGGACTGGGAAGGAATAGTGCCAGGAGAAGAGGGAGGAGCAGTCTACCCTTCTGGTGCTGCCGGATGTGGAGTTTTGAATGGGATTAATTAGGACTGCAGATGAGATACCAGCAGTGACTGGGACTTTATTCAAATGACTTTTCTCCAAAAGACTTGATACTTTACTTAGATTAACCTTCTTGTGCTTGACACTTGAGTTGAACTTCTCTCAAATGACTTCCAACTGGCCTTGATCTGACAGAGTTAAGACTTGACTAAAGAAGTTGAGGTTTGACCTGGATTTACCCTCAAGTCTTGACATGAGAACTGAAGACATGCGGCTGCATGGTTGGGAAATACAGTCGTCCTCCACCAACTCACAGACCTGGAGAGACTTCTGATGGAAAAAACTTTTTTATCACTCCCAAACAGAAGTCTAAACAGACTGGTACTCAGCTATCCTGCCGGAGGGAATGTGGAGAAATGATTGTCGATCATGCTTATGTCTTCTGGACTTGTCCTTCTTTCCAGTCTTTCTGGAAGGATGTAGCAACAATCACCTCAAAAAGCCTGGGTTTTTAATATTAATACAACATTCACATTCCTCTATCTTGGACATGTTCCTGATGAGCTAAGTAAAGATGACACCTACTGTATCTCCTTAAGATTATGTTGGCAGCAAGTAAAAAAGCCATTACAAAATACTGGCCTCAGAAAAACTGCCCTACTGCTGACTTCTTTATCAATATTGTCAAACATCTGTATCTTTTAGGACAGATGACTGACTGCATACAAAGAACTGGGAGAAAAATGATGGGAAAAATGGTGTGTTTATGTAGCCAGGAGACAGATCTTTCATAATTATTGTATGTAACGTGTTATATTTTGTTTTAAATTAGGAAAAATTGACTCGCTTGACCTGCTGATCATTGACTTGAGACATGTCTCAGGAGGACACTAGTGAGACCTTGATACCTGACAGTTTTCTCTGATAGACTGTATGACTCAGACTTGGAATTGATTCTTGACACAAATGACTTTTGACTTGATTTAGAGTTAAGACTTGACATGGACTTGACTCCAGAACCTTTGGGTCCCAGTATTAGATTAAGGACTAGTTGCTCCCGTCCTTATTTCCCCCTTTTCTCCTCCCTTCCTTCTCTCCTCTCCTTGTTTCCATCCTCCCTTCCACTGTTCTTTTCCTTGTTTTTTACTCTCCACTGGAGTAAATAACAGTAATACATGGTCTCTCATGTTCTCAAATCCCAAAGCTAAGTAAGATGACACCTATCTGTACACTCTCACCTTAAGAATTATGTTGCGACAGTCAAGTAAAAGAAAAGCCATATACAAGAATAGCTGGCCTCAGAAAAACTGCCCTACCGGAACTTTTTCTTTATCATATTGTCAAAACATCTGTTATCTTTTTTCTAGGACAGATTGACTGACTGCATACAAAGAACTGGAGAAAAATGCAAGGGAAAAAGTGTGTGTTAATGTACGCAGGAGACAGATCTTTTCATAAATTATTGTATGTTAACTATGTGTTATATTACTTGTCATTTAATTAGCGAACAACCATATGCACATCGCTTTGACCTCGGCCTGATGCATTGACTTAGATGACAATGTCTCAAGAGGACCACTCAGTGCAGCACCCTCGATGACATGAACAAGTTTATTCCTCTAGATAACAGCTAATAGACTCAGACTTGGAATGTGATTCTCTTGACACAAATGACTTTTGACTTCGATCTTACGAGTTAAAACGACTTGACATGACTTGACTCCAGAACCTATTGAGTCCCAGTATTAATGAATAAGGACTACTAGGTTACATACCCGTCCATATTTCCCCCTTTTCCTCCTACATTCCTATCCTTCTCTAGCTCATCTTTTACCTTCCATCCCTCGACCTATCAAGTCGTAGTTCATTATTCCTTGGTTATTTTACTGCCCCGTCCTTACCTGCGAGAAGTTGAACACATATAACCAGTAAATACAATGGTCTCTCAAT